CTACTTTCTCCTCTCGTGCCTCCTCCTCCTCCTCCTCCTCCTCCTCCTCCTCCTGCCTCGGCTCCTCCAACTTACGGAGGGGATGCAGCGTGCGGATTCCGTCCGAGTTGTCCCCGAGCAGAATGGAACACGACTGTGCAGGACTAGGTAAGTTTCCGACCACGGGTGTACTAGCGCCGCGCCGATGCTGAGTTGAACCTCCCAAGCCTTGCGCCATAAAGCGCAGGAACCCGTCGGCTGGAACCGTGTTGGGCGTGGTTGCACACTGTTCCCCGGGACTGGGTCTGGGGCCGAGCCCAGGATCAGTCAGCATCGGACCAGGAGAATGGACCGAACCTAGGCAAACATGTGTGAACCCAACCCTTGGAAGTTGGGCTGAGAAGTTGGAGGACGTCGGCAGCCAAGCGGAACCCAGCGGGGGTGTTCGAGACCCCAGCGTCGCTTGGACCCTTGGTGATAGGGTTCGCCAAGTGGCCGACGATCTCCCAGGACGAGGGGCACGGGTGAGGCCAGGGCCCGTCGGCATCGAACCCGGGGAGCGGCACGAAGCAGACTGTGCAGCGGATCGGCCCGTAGCAGCACGAAGCCGAAACCCAATCGACCGGTGCGCCCAGATGCACAACAATCTGGCGGCGAGCGAGGGGGGGAAGTGAGCAGAAGAAGACCTTCTCAGAAGGCACTTCTGGTGATGAGCCGCAATTCGCTGGGACCTGCGAAGAGGGAAGTCGGAGGGAGGGTTGATTGCAACATGTTTGATGCTCCTTAGGGTTACAGTGGTCCTCCTCCTCCTCCTCCTCCTCCTCGTCGTCCTCCTCCTCCTCCTCAAAGTAGGGGGCCTTCCAAAAAGGCAGGTGGTCTTCCCCCCCCCAGGCCAGTCCCCCCACCCTGGCGGCGCCACCGAACCAAAACATCTGACGTCGTGTTTTGTTCACAACGTGACTCCTCCAGAGGCCGAAAGCTGCCAGCAACCTTCCGTCCTGATTTTTCGCACGACGCGACAATGCCTGGATGGTCTGGGGTCCCACAATCGGCCACCGAAACCGTTGCGGGGCGCGTTCTGGTTGGAACTTTAGAAGGGTACCCAGCTGTGACGACGAGGAGCCCCCTGGAGGCCCCCAACAAGAGCGAACGAGAGTCCAGACTCGATTGTTTTAGTTTCATCGGGTGCACGCAAGAACGACCCCAGGCGAGCGTGACCGTTGGTGCTTCTCTTCACGGGGGACGCGGCGGGGCCAAAGCTGGGCGCGCAGGACCGCCACTGCCGCATCGCGCGCGGCGATCTAGGGCGCCCGGTGGGCCCGCACCACAGGTCCCGCTGGCCAAGGGTCAGTCCTACGCCCAGTCGATTTCACGACGAGGGCAGGGGGACCAAACCTTAACGCGCAAGACGCCACTGCCGCATCGCGCTCGGCGAACTGGGGCCCCCAGTCGGCCCGCACCGAAGGTCCCTCCGGAAAAGGGCCACTCTTAAACCGTTGGCGCTCCGCGCGGAGCGCCAAAAGTTCCTGTCACGTTGATGCCGCTTGTTCTTCTCCGAACTCCTACTGCCACTCGAAGCTCTTCGAGCGGGGCGTGGCCAACGAACGTGGCCGAGGATTAGGGAAACAAAAAATGGCATAAACATAAAAACCCGGAGGTCCGCGCGGATTTCTCGGATCGGCGCTGGACCCCCCTCCCTGGCGCGCGGAGCGCGCCAGGGGCGGCGCCGGCGGCGCCGCCCCTGGCCCCAGCGCCGATCCGAGAAACCCGCGCGGACCTCCGAGTTTTTAATGATGAGGCCCCTTTTGGTTCCCCTCAGGATGGGCCGAGGCTGCAAAGGGCACCCTTGAACGACTGCACGCCGGGTCGACTTCGCGACGCGAGCAGGCTCGGGCCCCTCCCCCCCCCCCCGGCGGCGGCGGCGGCGGCCCCGACGGCGCGGGGGACGCCCCGGCGGCCTGCTGGCCCCGCTCGGGGCAGATGCCCTCGGGGATCTCTCGCCTCTGCCGGCGCGGGGATCGGCGCGGGGGCCGCGCGTCGACGGGCCGTCGGCGAGGCGTCGGCGACACGTCGGCGTGAAGCAGAGCGGGCTGCACATCGAGCCGCTTCGGCGCTGCATCGGCGATGCGTCGCGATCCTCCGACCCCGTCTCCTCCGACCCCATCTGGGAGGCCCGGAATTTTGGGCGGGGGGGGGGGCCTGCTCGGGGACAGGCCGGCCAAGACGAAGGTGGGTCAATGCACACACAACAAGGCGCGAGCTAAGCATCGCTCCCGTTGCTTGTGTGTTTTTTTCGCCGCGCAATGCTCGGACTTCTATTGAAACTCACGCATGCATTCCGATGGAAGCCCCGCGCTTTCGATCTGCTGGGTAGCACCCCACATGGTGTAGAAAGGACAGGAGGCCACATGCGAACCCTACCCCCTACCCCACCACCCCACGAAGCGGGGTTCACTCCGCCCGTGACCTCCCGAGCGAAGTAAACCCCACCTCCCTCTTAGAAATCGTGAGGTGGTGGGGTAGGGCTCGCATGCGGCCACCGACTGGACACGCTGAGCGGCGAGAGCCCCGCGTTGACGGCCAAATGCACCGAGACAATGACCAGGGGGCCACCGGGTACACCCAAGAGGACTCTGGCTGCCCCCGCCCGGCCCTTCCATGCACGGCGGGGCAACGACCACGATGCTACGCTGGGCGGGGATAGCGGAACTCCCTGACGTTCCCGACGCTTTGCCCGTGGTCACAGCTGGTGCCCGGACACCTGCCCATCCTCCGTCCTTAGCACGGCGCTACACGTCAGGCAGCTTGTAAGCAGCGGGTCGGCGCTCCTGAACCTCAGTCGCCTCATCCTTGCAAGTCGCCAGAAACTAAGCCAATTGCTTGGAGTCCGAAGCATTGATTGTGCTGATTCGAGCCTAGAGGAGGAGGAGGAGGAGGAGGAGGAGGAGGAGGAGGAGGAGGAGGAGGAGGAGGAGGAGGAGGAGGGGGAGGAGGAGGAGGAGGAGGAGGAGGAGGAGGAGAGGAGGAGAAGGAGGAGGAGGATGAGGAGGAGGTGGAGGTGGAGAAGGAGAAAGAGAAGAAGGAGGACCTCTCAACTTGTCTGTTTCTCTTGTAGCGCCTGCACTGATATTTTTCTCGCCGCACCTCCTGCGCCGCTTCCTCTGCACTCAGGTGATCTTACCGCTTCCAATGTTATCGTTCGCTCTCAGGTGTTTGTTTCGCAGGGAAGAGCGCAATAATTTCGTCGCAGATTACCTTGTATCAAAAGAAGGAGGAGGAGGAGGAGGAGGAGGAGGAGGAAGAGGAGGAAGAGGAGGAGGAGGAGGGGGGACCCAAACCCTCGACCCTCGACGTGGTGGCTTCTTCGCTGCATGGCCCCCTGGAATTATTTTGACGCCTTCTCTCTGCGGCACCGGCTCCTCGACCAGGGTCGCTTTGACGACGCTGGGGCCCCGACAGGGCGGCCGGCACTGGCGAACAATAACCCGCTGTCATCTCCTTCGCTGCGGTTCGGTCAGGCCTCAACGGTCGCGGTGTGAATCGTAAGGCTGGCGGCGCATGCACATGCTACACCTCAGCTTTGCATGTTCAGCTCGGCTGCCCAAGGGCCGCTGCCGCCCGCGGGCCGCTGCCGCCCGCGGGCCGCTGCCCGCCGTCGCCGCGGTCCGCCGCGAGCCCGCGCCAGCGCAGCCAGCGGGCCACGGTGAGCCGCTGCCAGGCGGCGATCGGCGGGTCCGTGACCTTCGCCTTCGGCGACCTTCCGGCTGCAAAGTTGGCCCGTCTGGAAGAGGCGCCGCTGCCCCTGCCCGTGGGGCGTCCGAGGCACTTGTCGGCAAGGCCACCGACTCTCTGGCTCGAATGGCTGCCGCACCGGCAACGCCAGACGCACGGGCCCGTGCACCGCAGCCTGTGGCCCCGGACGTCGGCGCACTGGCCCAAGTCGTCGAGCACCAGGCGGGCCGCACTGTGGCCAGCGCAGCTGCTCTTTACCAGGCGAGCCCGCCCAGACTCGCCCAAAGCGCGCCGTCGGCAGCGAGTGCACTGGAACCCGTGCTCTGTGGCTACCACGTCGTACGGCTGCCCCACGGGCGCAGCTGGAGACGGCGGACGCTCCCGCGGCTCGCGCTAGGGCGGCGCGTCGGCGTCACCCCAGCTGCCGCTGCCTCCCACCAGGTGCACTGCCATGCAGGCGATGTGGTCCAGCGCCCCAGCGACCTGATCAGCTGCTGCCGTGACCGCCCAGCCGATGTGCTCCGGAAGCTCGTGTACGGCCTCGCCGTTGGCCACGAGGATGCGCTTGTCTTCCACGGTGGCGTTGGTGATCCGGGACTTGGAGAGGTGCACCTTGACCTTGCAGAATGACACTCCCTTTGGGCCGAGCCCAATGTCGTCCAGCCGTGCCCATGTCAAGAGCCAAGCATCCGCGCGCGGGCGGCCCAAATGAGTGCACCACCGCTTGCCGGCTTGGACGCCGTCCAAGATGAGCTGGCAACCGACGTGATTGCGGACTGGCGGGAAGCAGCGCTTCAAGACCACCAACTCCGCGAAGAGCTCAGCCCGCACGATCCGACTCTGCACTGGCAGCGATACCGACATGGGGCCCAATGCGATGATGGCCCCCCGGGCTTGGCCCCAGGCTGCGCTGCGGCGATACCTGTTCGACCGATGTCCCGCCAGCCGCCGACCTCGCTGCCGTCGGTGGCGACGTCGCCTTCGAAGCACGCCTCCATGCCCTCGGCCCGAATCCACGCCAGCGCCCCCTGCTATGTCATCTTCTTCGCGGCGCGAGGAGGTCTGGGGAGGACGCTGCTGATGATGACGATGATGACCGACCGTACTTGGAAAGAGAAGAGACGAGGGCGAGCGGACAAGAAGCGAGAAGAGGGCAAGATGTTCGCCCCTGCTCTCTGCCAGCTGCGCTACAACTTTTCTACTAGTATTGTAACTTTGTGGTTGCGCTACTCGCTGCGGCCAGTGCCGAGGAGTGCGCGCTCGCAGGCTTCATGTAGTTGAGCATTCTG